AAAGTATGAACTCAAAGAAGTTTAATGTTAATTAGATTAATGATAATTTCAATTTTTATATTATTGAAACTAAATAATGAATCATATAATGAACAAATACACATATTACTAGTAGATATTTTTTTTAAAGAAAAAAATATTCGAAATTTACAAAATTCACTATGGAAAAAGCGTTTGCATTTTCCGTTTGCGTCACAACAATTACATATGCATTTTTTGTTCTTACGATCAATAAAGCAATCCATCTGAATACCTACAATACATTTAAATAAGTTTACGTAAATTAAAGTTCACAAGAATACTTTTTTAAATAATAGAATTACAAATACCGTCGCAAAATGGTGCTGGATTTGCACATTCATTTTTACCAATGAAGACTGATGTCGTATAAGCGCAAAACAATGTAAGCATCATTAAAAGGGCAAGTAATTTTGAATGCATTGTTATTACTGTTTGATTTTACAGTATTTTCTTTTAAATGACTTTTTTTTTCCTTTTTGACGTGCCCTTTTTATATTTAAGAATTCGATAGATCATTTATTTATTTTTAATTCATTTGAGATGTTCAGTAAATCAATATGAATTTGGATTTATTTTGTAAATTAACTATAATTTCAAAATAACGTACTTTGGCAATAACTTTGTTGGCTAATTATTTTTTCAATTGGGTCAAATTTTTAGAAAACGGTATAAATGAAATGCATCTCAATTTATTAAATGACTTAATTGGCTAAAAAATAGATCTTCAAATGTCCAAGATTACACCCAGTGTTGGTTACTAGATTGATTGGTCCAATGGAACACTATTGGAATGAACAGATGAAAAATAATGGTTCAGTTTCTTCCAGGTGAAAATCTTCAAAATCATTGTCAAATTTTGAATAAAAACCTTTAAAAAAGAATGCTCACTTTTGGAAACACACGAACTTTGACATATTCGTCAAATATTTTGACCCAATTCTTTATAAACATTTTTACATGCGCGTTTGTAGTCTTGACAAATTTATTTATATTAAACACAAAAAAATAAAGATAATTACCCATAAAAATTGGGAAAAAAAAAATAAAGAAAAAAGAAAATAACCTTAGCCATTTCATTCAAAGATATCCAACTCAGATAAGAACCTTAGGAAAAAAATTAATTATGAAGAAATAATAAAATATTATATTGCAATGACCTGATCTAAAAAAAATTCATACCGCTCATTTATGAATGACTCAAGTCAAAAGAGAACCTAATGATTAATAAAAGAATAGTTTTTTTAAAAAAAAATAATAAACTTTCGATAACTATAACCTGAAATAATAATACTCAAAATTAAGCTAATAAACTAAAAGTTTATTTTTTTAAGATTGAATCAGAAAAGTATTAAAAAAAATAATAATAATATAATTACAAATAAACCCGAAATTCTGTTAAAAGCATAGATGTTTTAAAAGCAGTGGTTCTTTTAAAAAAAATTTAAATTGCTATACTAATAAAGAAATATTTCATTCTATATTGAATTACAGATTTATTATATAAAATAAAATGGATATTTAATTATCATAAATGTAAATTTTGCATAAATATAAAATATTTTTTTAAGTTTTTCTTAGCAAATATTTTTGGGATAAATATATTCTTTATCAAATGAGTGAATTCTCATTTTTAAATTAAGAGCAAAAAAGTTGCTATGATTAAAATAAATTAAATAAACTAAAAATCGAATCTTAGAACTGAAACTCAAGAAATAATTAAATACCCTATTTTGGATTTAAGTATACTGAAATATAAAAACAATAACTTTAGAAATGTAATATAAGAAAAACTATTTAAATTTTATAGTGATTTTAAAGGTTAAATTATTATCAAACTAATTAATATAGCTTTTTATAGTATTTAAAAAATTCTTTTTTTTACATTAATTTCAAAAAATACAATTTTTATTAATAATTTAAATATTAATAAATAGTTTTAAACACTTCTATATTTATCTTATAAGAGTTTAAATATAAATTTTACTATTAAATTCATTCAAGATTCTCTACAATAATCTGTTTTCTTAATTGTAATTCAAAAAGTAAGTAATCAAACTTGATTCAATAGTTTTAAATAATTTAATATAGATTAGAAATTCTTTTACCTGTTGCTATATTAGAAAAAAGTGAATTTTAATTTATTTTTTTAGTTAGTATTATAGATTAACAATTTTTTTAATAATAATAATAATATTTAATTTATTATTTTTATAATTTATGCCAAATAAATTTGAATAATTGTTAGTTACTGCAGGTCATCATTATCATTAAAATAAAAGAGATGATTAATAACTTTTTGAAGATAATTTTATTAGTTTATTCAAATAATTTGAATTTAATTTAAAAATCCTTAAATATATAATTAAATAATAACAGAAATTATTTGTGACTTTTAAGAAATAATGCATTAAGCTAATAAATTGATGTTTTACTTTAAATATTTATAATCAATTTTCTGTAATCATTGTGATTTAAAAATATCAAATTTTTATATTTATTTTAAAAAATTTTACCTGTTTATTAATTTAATATAATAAGTATTAAGATCATAAAAAATTAATAATTAAACTTTGAATTCATATTATAATAATTATAAATAATAATAAGCTATAAAAAAAATTTCAAATAAATATACTATTTTATATAAACTAATATATAGATTATTATATGAAAACTAACTTATTAAAAATTATAGTGTTGATTTAGTTAAAAATTCTAAATAATGAAAATTTTTTAATGCTTAATATAAGGTTAATCACAATATAAAATACAAATATCATTTTTTTTTTTTTTAAAAAAAATAGATAAATTTAAAATATTTCTTACAATATTTCTAATACAAAATATTTCTTAAAGAGTTAAAAATTCTCACATATGTAATATATTATTATTTTAAGTATTTACTCAATTTCTGATCTATTTATTGAGAACTAATAACAACTTAGTGAAACATATTATTATTTTGTAAAAAATGTTGTGATAATATTTATTCTCTTAAAATTGTAGATATAAAATTGATTATAAAATATTGTATAAAAATTATAATATTTTAATATATGGGGGCTAAGCTATTAAAATCACCTTACGGGATAAGAAATTGATTGTGAGTAAATGATGATTAAAAAA